AAACAAGAAGAGAACTCAGAAACTGATTCAGAAACCATGGAACAGTCAATTGCACTATTCACAAAGAATTTCAATCGAGTCCTCAAGAAGTTCAACAAGTTCAGAAATAAAAATTCCTCGAATAGCCAAGGAAATTCCATAGTCAATCAAAAACCATCCAATACAAAACAAAGAGACAATACAAATACAGAAGGAATACAATGCTATGAATGCAAAGGATTTGGACACATCCAATCAGAATGTGCCACATACTTGAAAAGGAAAAACAAGACATACATAACAACCCTTAGTGATGACTCAAATAGTGAAGAAGACTCCAACACAAATTTCGTAGCTTTCACCGCCAGTCATGAAAGTAACAATAATGATGACATGCAAGAACTACTGGAGGCATACACTCAACTAAATGCCAAGTGGGAGCAGATCATCAAGGTAAATTTAGAACTCATGGAAGAAAATCAATTTTTAAAGGATGAAAATGACCGAGGAGAGAAACGGTACAAAGAAGCTCAAAACGATCTATTAGACTTCAAAAACAGAGAAGCTAAATTATTACAAGAAATCAAGGAGCTTAATGAAAGACCCAGGACTCCAAGCACAGACTCCAGTGAAAATCACCAAACTGAGGTACAGGAAGTGTCGCAACAGCGCTTTCAACACCGAAGAAGAATAAGGTGCTACTATTGCCATAAACTGGGACACATCAAAGCACACTGCTAAAAAAGGCAGAATGATCTTTATTACAGGCAAAACAACAGAGTTTGGCCAACACACAACAGAAAAAATAGTAAGAAAATCTGGGTAAAAAAAGACCAAAATGTTGCATATACCTCCAAAACAAACAAAGAGCAAGATATATGGTATTTTGACAGCGAATGCTCCAGGCATATGACTGGAAATCCAGAAAATTTAGAAAACATACAATATAAAAACGAAGGATATGTTACCTTTGGAGATGGAGAAAAAGGGAGAATTATCGCAAGCGGGATTTTGGACGTACATGGGCTACCAGAACTATCAAATGTCTTCCTAGTACAAGGATTAAAAGCAAACTTGATTAGCATAAGCCAACTATGTGAAGATGAACTAAAAGTGGAATTTTCAAAGGACGGCTGCAATGTCCTCAATCAAAATCATGAATGCGTTATGATCGGGAAAAAATCCACAAATAAATGCTACACATGGGACAGTGATCTATCTTGCTTACAGACAACCGTCAATCAAACACAACTATGACACCAACGGATGGGTCACATCAACTTTCATGACATAAAAAAGGGCTTAAAGAGGGGAGCCTACCGAGGAGTTCCAAAACTAGACATAGATGAAAACAAAAAATGTGATGCATGCCTTGAAAACAAAATCACACGAACAATCCATAAGAAGACCTCGGGAATACATACTTCTAGAATCCTAGAATTACTTCACATGGACCTATTTGGGCCTACTCAAACAGAAAGCATAGGAGGGAAGAGATATGTCTATGTAACAGTTGATGACTACTCACGATTCACGTGGGTAAACTTTCTTAGAGAAAAATCTGAGGCATTCACAACATTCAAAACCCTCATTATCAAAATCCAGAATGAAAATGATGGAAGAATAGGAAAGGTCATTCGTCTAAGAAGTGATCATGGTAGGGAGTTCGAGAACTCAAAATTCAAAGAATACTGCACAGAAATGGGATCCATCATGAGTTCTCCGCTCCGAAGACGCCCCAACAGAATGGAATAGTCGAGCGAAAAAACCGAACTATCCAAGAAATGGCAAGGGTTCTCTTAAACCACAAGAGACTACCATCAAAATTTTGGGCTGAAGCAGTAAATACCGCATGTTACTTGATAAACCCAGTATTCATACGAAAAGAAACCAACATGACACCATACCAAATCTGGAAAGGAAAGACACCAAATTTAAAACACACACATGTTTTTGGCAGCAAATGCTATATACTAAAAGATAGAGAACCACTGGGAAAATTTGACATCAAAGGAGATGAAGGAATATTCCTAGCATACTCCTCAAACAGCAGGGCTTATCGAGTATTCAATCTTAGAACAGACACTGTCATGGAATCTATAAATGTTGTCATCAATGACACAACATCAGAAGATCCCTCCACCAATGATGAAGAAATAACTGTTGTTGAAACAACAGTTCCAACACCTCCAGATCAGAAATCTGAAACAAAAGAAGAAGAAGCAAAAGATCTTGAGGAAAATGAGGAAACCCCCACTACTGATGAAACGAGGACACAGAAAAATCATCCAGTAGAAAACATTATAGGAAGACTCGATGAAGGGATCAGAACCAGAGGAAAGAAACGAGACTATCAAAGAATGGAAAAAGGAGACTATTGCTACACCTCAAAAATAGAACCCAAAAACATCATGGAAGCCTTAAGGGATGAATTTTGGGTGGAAGCTATGCAAGAAGAATTACAGCAGTTTGAAAGAAACAATGTCTGGGAGTTAGTCTCTAAACCAGAAAATGCTAATATCATAGGGACAAAATGGATCTACAAAAATAAAACAGATGAACAAGGGAACATTATACGAAACAAAGTCCGACTAGTAGCACAAGGATATACTCAAGTTGAAGGAACAGATTTTGAGGAAACATTTGCCCTAGTAGCCAGAATTGAATCAATCCGACTTCTCATAGCAATAGCTTGCATACTCAAGATAAAGCTATACCAAATGGACGTAAAAACGACCTTTTTAAACGGAAATCTAAAAGAAGAAGTCTATGTTGCTCAACCAAAAGGGTTTGAAGACCCTCACCTTCCACAAAATGTATTCAAACTCAACAAAGCTCTATACGGACTAAAACAAGCACCACGAGCCTGGTATGAACGTCTCACTGAATTCCTAGTTAAGAAGGGCTACAAGAGAGGAAGCGTGGATAAAACCCTATTTGTCAAACACTATGGGAAAAACATTGTCATCGCTCAAATATATGTCAATGACATAGTCTTTGGGTCAACACTCAAGTTCTACAAAGATCAGTTCATCACTAACATGGAAGGAGAATTTGAAATGAGCATGGTAGGAGAATTAAACTACTTCCTTGGTCTACAAATCAAACAACAAGACAATGGAATCTTTATATCGCAAAGCAAATATGCTAAGAACCTTGTTAAAAGATTCGGTCTAGAAGAAAGCAAAATTGTCAGAACACATGTTCCAACAACAGAAAGGATATCGTAAGATTCAGAAGGAAAACCAGTTGAACAAACCCTATATCGAAGCATGATAGGAGGATTGCTATATTTAACCGCAAGTAGACCAGATCTAAGCTTTGCAGTAGGAGTCTGTGCAAGATACCAAGCCAACCCAACCGAGCAACATTTAAAAGCAGTCAAAAGAATCATTAAATATGTGAAAGGGACTTCTGATCTAGGGATATGGTATTCTTTCGACACCAATCATCATCTATCAGCCTATTGTGATGCTGATTGGGCAGGAAACATAGATGACAGGAAAAGCACGTCAGGAGGATGTTTTTTCCTAGGTACCAACCTAGTATCATGGATCAGCAAGAAACAAAGTTCTATATCCTTATCAACAGCAGAGGCTGAATATATTGCAGCAGGAAGCTGTTGCACACAATTACTTTGGATGAAACAAATGCTAGAGGACTATGGAATACAACAATCAACCATGACAATCCACTGTGACAATAAAAGTGCAAAAGATATTTCAAAAAATCCAGTACAACATTCAAGAACAAAACACATTGACACTAGGCATCATTTCATAAAAGAATGAGTAGAAGATGAAATCATCAGTCTCACCCACATCAATACAGAAAAACAACTAGCAGATATTTTAACCAAAGCTCTTGACGGAAACAGATACACAAAATTGAGGGCCGAAATAGGCCTGTGTATTTTATAAGCCACATCAAATAAGAAAGGGGAAGCTCTTGGGCCGCATCTACAAAATAAAGGCATTAATCATAACCGACCCATATTCTACCAACATCATCCTATCTATGCAGTCCACAACAAAAAGCCCAAAACCTGAACCCACATCTCAAATAAACCCCAAATTAAAAGCAGAGTCATCATCCTTACCCGACTTCACTCGTCATCCACCCGAGAATCATCATTCATCCTCACACCCCATACAAATCAAACAATGGTGAGAACCAGGAATCAAAGAATGGGGAAGTTACCTCGCAGAGGAATAACTGATAGCGCCTCACAATACACCGGCACCGGAGAATCTTCGAATCCAGTATGCGTCGAAGAAGAAAGTCCCACCAACATATTATGATGGATCCAGTTCTGATATCCAGAGTACCGTTCGGCGAGCCTCAAGAACAGATCACCAACCCACCAGGTAACCCGAATCTTCCTCTAATTAACCATGAGGAACCACCCGAATACATGCCCATGGCGGCTGATCTTGGGGACAATAGGATTGTTGACCCAAACGATTTAGTGGTACAACTTCGGTTTGCCATAAATCGAGGCTGGGAACCTGATTTATCCTCCTACGTTAGCTCCGAAGAAGAGGTAAATCCGAGGGAATCAGAAATTGAGGACCACGAAGAACCTCAAAATCACGAGGTCAATTGTCCTCCTAGCCTTCAAAATGAAGAACACATCACAACCAATGAAACCCCCAGTCCAATTTCTCGGGTCAACAAAAAACCCTAGAAAACAGAAGAAGAATGATCCGTATGAAGGAGCTGATCCAAGGGCCAAAAGGCCAAGTGATTTCCCAATACGGGCAGGACCTCCTCAAAGACAACCAAACATTCCACCAAAACCCGCAAAATCCAAGAAATTAAGAAAAGAAAATACAGAGGATGAACAAAACTGGTTACCAAATGAAGAAGATGAACTATCTGGTTGTGAAAGAATGAGAACCCGAGCCCAAAAGAAAACTCACCTAGCTGCTAGTAGGGAGAAAAAACAAAGAATATCTACCAAAGTAGTTAAGGCATCTGCCAGAGAAAAGGAGAAATAGAAAGTGGTTAATAGTGCTGACATGTCAAACCTACCTAAACCACACAGTACAACTTTTTTAAGAAAGGAATCCGTGAGCTTGTTGAAAAGAATTGTGGAGAAAAAGATCATAAGCCAAAAATTGCTTATCATAGACAGACTAGACAATTCAGAGAAAATTCAAGAAGTCCTAATCTCAAATCAACTCCTGGGAACAGTCACCAAAATTGAACCTTATGATGAACAAGTCATCCAGGAATTCTATTGTCACCTAACCAAAACCACTACAATACCTAGTAGTCCTATGTATGGGAAGGTATACCTGAGATGCAAGTTTTATGAGCTTAGACCAGATACAATCAACCACTACTTAGGGACACCTGAGTCTGAACAAGAGATGGAACTAAACAGTGAACAAGTTGCAAAGGAACTTACAGCAGGAAATGTCATTTTTGAAAAGAACAAAATCAAAGCAGCCTCTTTGACAAGCAAATATGCCATCCTCCAGAAGATAGCCCTTGTAAACTGGATGCCCTCACTACATGAATCCACTGTAAAGTGGACCTTGGCAGAGCTGCTATACAAGATAGGGAAAGGGGTGAAAATCAACATGGGTGCTATCATTCATACACAAATCACAAACCTAGCAGAAGACACCAAATCCAGCACCTCCCTGATCTTTCCAAACCTCATCTTTGCCATCTTGACAAAACAAGGCCTCAAAACTCATGGACCAAAAACCATTGTCAAGAACATCAACACTACAGTCAAACTAAGGAAGGGAAACCACCAAAATGATCTAAAGACTTCTGCTCCAAAGAACAATCCACTTGATTCCAAGACACTAATCAACTACTTTGAGGGAAGACTGACAGAATTGGAAGTCTCAGAAAAACAACTCCTAAGGAAACACATGGACATCAAGGAAGAAAAAGCAGAGATAATAGAATGGCTGGCAATCCTAAAAGCAGAGAATGAAGAAGATCAAGAGAAAAATCAAGAATCAGAAGAAGAAAGTCAAGAGCATTCTCAAGAAAAAAGTGTTGAAACTCCTGTTTCAACATCAGATTCAGAAGATAACCTTTTAGCAAAAAAGGGGGAGAAACAAGGATAGAACAGGACAAGGCAAACAGTAGGCACAGGACAAGGCAGACATCAGGACATTTTTTTTGTGGCACAGATTCTGTTTTGTGTCTCTGATTGTTTCTTTCTAGAAACAAAGATAGAACAAGGCAGACAGCAGACAATTTTTTTTTTTTATTATTATTTTTTTTTGTGTGTGGCACAGATTCTGTTTTATGGTTCTGTTGTTACAGGCAGACCAGACAGGAAAAATTGAACAAACAGATATTTTTGGAAGGCCCAGCACATATGCACTATAATGACCTTTATGTCATTTAAATCCACCTTCTATATTTACTATGGTCACCTAGAAAAATTGTAAAATACCATTATCTGCTATATATTTTTTCTGCATATGCATACCAGTAACCATTGGGTCTACAATGGACACTAGTACTAATTTCCAGCCCAACTCTTGTATGACCCTGAAGACAAAAGCAGAATATTACCTGGAGCCAACAAACAACAATCAAGAAAGGCTCCACAAATTAAGGGGGAGATTCACAAATCAAGGGGGAGACAACTACACATGTCAATCCTTAAGAATAATCAAAATGAATCAAGGTTTTTGCTAAAATTTGACAAAGGGGGAGAATGTTGACATAAAACGAATTGTCAAATTCTAGACAAAAAGGGAATACTAAGTCAAACAAGATTTAGGAATTACATTCCTAATCTAAATAGGAATAGCAACCCTATTCCTATCTATCCTATAACTCTCGGCCTATAAAAGGAGCTGCTCCACAACTCTTTAAGATCCGGCTTTCAAGATCTAATTGTGAGACATGAGAGTCATTGAGAATAGATACCCAAATCCCCTTGAAAAGTAGTACACGTGTTTAGGTCACAATAATTTGATAGGAAATCATATTGTGTAATCCCCGTTTCCTAAACTAAGTGTACTTTGAATATTGAGCTTTTAGTGGATTTAGGCAGATTCTCAACTTGAGAAGTGCCTCGTAGATTAGGGTTGTTTGCCCGAGCTGCGTTATAAATTAATTGTGCCATAACGTCAGTTTCAACATTACCAAAAGTACAACGTTTATATATTTCAAATATCATAAATACAAATATTACTCATCTACTATAAATAAATAAAGATCAAAGACTGAGGATCTTCATCCGTAAGTTCAAAGATAAATTCTCAAACACCCATAAATATCCTATGAATTGAAATATTCGTAAGTCCAAACTGTTAGGAATCTAGGAGTCCTTAGCTTGGTGTATTATAATTCTATATCCTTTAGCATTGTATATATTTTTTCCTTTGTAAACTCTCGATGATTGAATATACAGAAAATTGTCATTTTCATATAGTATCAGAGACAGGTTCCCTAATGGCTCAGGATATTCAATATAGTTCTACTAGTCTTGAGTGGACTACTTCAGTCACCATCGCTTCGTTTCCCGTTCCAATCACCTTGTCCACGGCGCATCACTTCGTCTCGATAAATTTAACGACGTGTAATTTCCTTTTCAGACATACACAACTCATTCCTATCCTATGGGCACCAAACTTGTAAGGTTATGTTGATGGTTCCATCCTTGTCCTTCTGCCATGCTCCTGTCGCTGTCTGGTGATGATACTGCGTCTCTAATTTTAAATCTTGCTTATGCCGCCTGGATGTAACAAGACCAAGTTATCTTGCCCATGTTGATCTCTCTGCTTTCAGAGGAAGTTATGCATTTAATCGTTGGCCGAACAACGTCGAAACAAATGTGGGACTCCATGGTTCAGTCCCTTGGTTCGTCCACACGAGCCGGTGCCCTGCGCCTTCTCGGTCAACATCAGTCTCTTCCACAAAGCGATAGCACCGTCTCGGAGTATTTGGGTCGTGCGCAGGTTCTTGTTGAAGAACTCATGCTCACCGATTGGCCATCCAGTTTCATTAGATGAGTAGAACTTGTATGTCTTTCGCAGATTGCAACTGGAGTTCGAGGTCGTGGTGTCCTCTTTAGCTACTCATGATGTGTCTCTTTCTCTTTCGGAGCTTTCTGATCATTTTACGACACAAGAGTTCATTCAAGTAGATGATTTTTTGGTTGGCGGTGGCTTTCGTGAGCTTGTGTCCCCGTCGACGATGGTGGCCTCTCGTGATGATTGCTACCGAACTCAGTAGTAGGCTGATCGTGGTCGAGGTGGTAGGTGGCGCGGCGGACGTGGTTGAGTAGCTGGGCATGGTGGTCGTATTGCTGGTGGACGACGGCTACCCCCTTTGTGTCAGATTTTCATCGGCATAGGCATATTGCCGTATCTTGTTTTAGGCACTACTCCGGTACATTGGCTCTTCAGGTCCATGTTGCCACGCATGATGATTCTGGTGGTGATTCTTATGCCTCTCAGTTTTGGTTCCTGGATACCGGTGTAACGAATCATGCTACTCCGGATATCGCGAGTCTCTCGATGTTTGAACCGTATCTTGGCAATGATACGTTGAGTGTTGGTAATGGTGCAGGTCTACAAATTTCTAGTGTTGGTCATGCTTCTTTCTCTACCCCCACTAGTTCGTTTCATTTAAATGATATTTTGCATGTTTCGGGTTTGCAAAATGGGTAATTGTCTGTTCAGTGATTTGCTAAGGATAATCGTGTGTTGTTAGAGGAGTTAGGTTTGGTTGAGAGAATTACTCTCAACCCTTGGGTTTGATTTTTGAAATAAGTGGCTTAAGACCTTCCTTAGCTTGTATATATTTCCTTTCTCTTCTGTACATGAAACACATAGTAATACTGTAATACAAATACACAGTTTACACATATTGCCAGTGTTTGTCTAACATGGTATCAGAGCTCCAGTGATAGTGAGGGAGTGGGTTGTGATTGGAGGAGAACGACGACCATTTGCTAACGTTTCGCGACGCTACTAGAGCCGTCACGCGCCACCACGCACCACCGCCACAGTTGATCGCCGACTCACGCGATGGCGAACACACCGGACGACTCGCCGTGAGGAGGACTGCCGATCAGGGTAGTTTGCGAGAGGAGTTGTTGAAGTGTTCTCCAAGTTTGTGGAGTCTACGTAGCTTTGGTTTGTTTTTCTTTTTGTTATTTCTTTCTTTTATGGCGGAAGCAAGGAATATTACTTCTAATATTATATCTACCCCATCCAAATTAGTTGATGTAGTAATTGCATCAGATGGGTCTAATTTTGGAGAGTGGAGGTTTCTTATTGAAATTAATTTAGGGGATATTGGTAAAGATAAGCATTTGAGTAAGACATGTCCAACAGAGCAAACTGAGGCTCAAGAGTGGAACATGGATGATAAAGCTTTATTATCCCGCATAATAAATTGTATTGATAGAAAAATAATTCTATTTATGCAACACTGTAAAACCGTGATGGAGGTTTGGGACTTGGTGAATAAATGGTTTAGTGGAACGAACAACCTGAGGAAATTGTATAAATTGTCTCATGATATTCATCGTCCCTCCCAAAATGGACAGGACATCCAAGATTATTTTTATGATTTCAAGAGTGTGAGTGACACATTATGTACTGCTATGTCAATCATGAATGATGTGGAGAAAATGAAAAAGCAATGTGATCAGTTGCATGTGTTTAGCTGGATTTTAGGGTTGGATAAAGAATATGACATCCTGAAGTCTCAATTGCTCGGGAATAAAGAGTTAGAATCAATAGACCAAGTTTTCACTATGGTCTAAAATGCATCAGGTACAGGTAACAGAGTCACGGAGAAACATGTTTTCATGATGCAAGGAGATAATAGAGGTGCAGGTTTTGGTAATTGCGGGGGCCGATTCTCAGGACGTGGTGGCTTTGGTAGAAGATGTGGAGGAGGTTGAGGAGGTCTAAGGGTTTGCTATAATTGTGGAGAGGCTGGTCATCTACGCAACCAATGTTCAAAACCTCTTAAACCAATGAGCTTTGCTAACTCTGTCTCCAAACTAGAAGGTAATGTTGTGGTGATGACAGATGAAGAGTTAGCTATGTTCAAGCAATTGAAACTGCCTACCTCACAACCGCTAAACAGTTATGACACATTACCATCTTCCTCAGCCACATTTGTCCAAACAGGTAATCCTACTGCTTGCGTCTCTTCCTCGTCTCGACAGTGGGTTATTGATTCCGGAGCTAGTGATCATATGTCAGGTAATCTAAATGTACTTTCTAAGTATTCTTCCTTTCCGTCTGGTACTACAGTTACCCTGGCGGATGGTTCAGCCGCTTCAGTTTCGGGTAGAGGTAGTGCCTGTGTAACTCCATCACTGTCTCTCTCTCGCGTGTAATACCTTCCAAAATTTCTGTTCAACTTACTGTCGATGAGTCTAATTACTCGAAATCTAAACTGTTGTGTTGTGTTCTTTCCTGGTTATTGCTTATTTCAAGATCTTTTGACGAAGGCGATTATTGGTAGAGGAAAGGAAGCTGTTGGATTGTATGTGCTGGAACAATTCTCTCCTAGTCCTGAAGGTGCTCTGGTTAGTTTATTGGGTAGTACGTCTCCTTTCCAATTACATTGTTGGTACGGTCACCCACCTTTATCTATTTTGAAGAAGGTATGTTTGAATTTAGAATCTTTGTCTGACTTGCAATGTGAATCTTGCAAGTTTGCTAAACATTGTCGGGTACCATATCCACCTAGAGTCAATAAAAGGGTAGAGTCTTTATTTCAGTTGGTTCATTCAGATGTATGGGGACCATGTCGGGTACCGTCTAAGTCTGGGTTCAAATACTTCGTAACCTTTGTAGATGATTTCTCGAGGCACACTTGGTTATATCTCATGAAATCTAGGGATGAATTATTTGAAGTCTTTTGTATGTTTTGTTCTATGGTACACAATTCAATAAAGTGATTCAAGTTTTGCGTAGTGATAATGGGACTAAATATTTTTCCCGTACCTTTTCCGATTATATGAGCAAAAATGGAATGATACACCAGTCATCTTGTGTCGGCACTCCCCAACAGAATTGTGTGGCAGAGCGTAAAAATCGCTATCTGTTGGAAGTTGCCCGAGCCTTGTTGTTTCAAATGA